GAACCGAAGCAACCAACACCCCCAAGTCCCAAAACGAACTACAACGGGGCACCCGGGGAGGAAACCACGAGAACGTTGCCACCACCAAGGCTCAAGTGCAACGCCCCTGCTGCCCGCACCCGCTTTGTTAGCACAACTGGGTAACCGAGCCAAAACAAGCAACCAAACTCACAGGACTCCGGGTCGAAGGTGTCACCAACCCCACAGGCAGCAGACGGAGGCAAAACAGAGAGTCACCCAGAGACAAAAGGTGAGAGCAACCCTCAAACTCGCTGGAAGCGAGGGGGGGGCTCTGGGGTCACATCCATCGGACCCGCGCGCCCCCAGGGGTTTCCCAGGGTCCCGAGCGTTTACTTTAAGAGGACTCGCGCTCAGGTAATCCCAGGCAGGGTACTGCTAACCGGCACCCAAAGCTACCAAACAACTTTCTAAGAGCTGAACCCCCGGGACGTGTACACTCACGGGGACCTAGCAGGGGGTACCACCAGAAAATACTCAGAACACAAGGGACACAAGGGGCAAGAACGAAGGCAGACCCCCCCACCAGGTAGATAAACAAAAAGAAAAAGAAAACCCCGCAAGAGAACAGCGTACCCAAGCGGAACAGAGCCGGCCGCTATGATTGGTAAAGACAAGCTGCACAGTACCCCGCGCCCCACCAGTGCAAACACTGCCCCTTACTCTAAGGCGAACAAGGGAGACAGAACACCCGAGCACACAAAGAGCGGCCGAAAACCAAGCAGTAAACGGCCAAGCAGGGGCAGGACCCAAGGAACTTGTGGAAGGTGGCCCCAAGCCCCAAGGGCAGTACTTACAGGGCACCTAGGGAAGGGAACCCTAGGCGCATGCAGCCCGAGTACTGAAGAATCACTCCCGGCTCACGCACCACCTAGAAAACAGACACCACACTCTAGGTACAGTGCTGAAACAACCACTGGAGCCGGAGCACATAACCATTGCCTATAGCATCAGCCGAAGAACTGATGGGTGGATAGCCGGCGTGGGAGGTCTGGGGCTCCCCCTTCCCCCTCCCGGGGAGGGGGGAGCTGCGCAGACAGCGGCGCGGTGACGTATGACGTCATACTAGTTTCCTTGTTTTCTGTTGAAGAGTTCTATCCACTAGTTCGGCTTAGGTAGCAATTTTCACCAGAATAGGGGTTTGTTTTGGAATGCTTACCTTTCTGGGTGCTTGACCCGGTCGATGGCAGACATAGAATGCTTCCAACCACACGGGGGTTTCTATAGGCCATTGCTCCCCTTGCCTCTCTGAGGGGGCCAGGTTCTGGCTCGTGGTCCCCGGTAGGCCCTAGAACTCCATACACATGACTGATGCCAAAGTCTGACATTAGCATATCAGCCGGTAAAGCTCCGGGGAGCCGACGGGGCTCCCCCCAGAAAAACACTGGGACCCTCCAACAGCAAACAAGCAGTCCAGGAGAAATTTTAGTATGCCTTAGCTATTCAAGGAGCTGGCAGCACCAGCCACAATGCACCCCACCAGCCGAAAACACTGCGCTACCCAGGGCAAGACGGAAACCTAAAAGCCCCCCCAACACATCTGCACACGAAGGAAGAGGCCTAACCCGCAAACATACCAGCATTACAAACAATTACACAGCAGTGAGAAGAGGGGCAGAAAGGAGCCTTGAGAAAGGTACAGCAGACAAATGTAAAACAGATTCAAGCCTTTTCTATAAATTCATTAAAAGCAAGCAGCATGTAAAAGAAAAATCCATACATTGAGAATGGGGTACAGGACTACTGAGAATTAAAAAAATGTGAAATGCTAAATGAACAGTGTACACATTTTATCGCTCTTATGCGCTCCCGGTAACACGCACTCACTTTCTGTTTGTTGTGGATGGTACGCCAGGCTTTTGGAGTTTTTATGTCTTTAGTCGTGTAGAGTGATTGCGAACACAATGATACCAAATTGAAAAACCCTGGACGAGAATTGAGGTGACAAAGTTGAAGAGAGTATACACTTTTCAGAACTACCGCGCGCTCCCGTGAAACGCTGGTACCCACTCGGCCTAGTTGAGGGCTGGCAGGCTGGGGCCCACTCGGCCTAGTTGAGGGCTGGCGGGCTGGGGCCGCCAAAGTGTTAAGAAACTCAAAGTAAGGCCAAACGAAGTTTGGGCTTTACCGTTGCTTGATAATGCGCCTGCCCACCCCAAAATTGACACGTTAACCTCACAAGATGGCAAGATAACGTGTATGGCACTTCCTCCTAACACAACCTCTCTCATCCAGCCTATGGATCAGGGAGTTATCTGTATCTATAGATATATCTAAATATCTATGGATATATCTGTGTCACAAAGAGGATGTACACCAAAAAGATGCTGAACGAAGTTTTGGTGGTTTTGCCTCTTCCGGAAGATATTGAACTCGGTATGGATAACAGGGCTAAAAAAAAAACTTGAGAATTTGAAGAACTATACAATCAAGGAAGCCATCTATAACTGGACCAAGGTGTGGAGTGAAGTAAAGGAATCGACTTTGAAAAATTCCTGGAAAAAACTCCTCACGTCTACTGTCAGAAATGAGGAGGATGAAGAAATGGATTTTAAAGGATTTACACATGAAATTCATGAAATGTTCAGAAATGCCGGCAAAAACGTAGAAAGACAGGATGTGTTCAATTGGCTTGAAAAAGATGCCAATGACCCAGGATATGGTGTGGTAAGCGAAGACGAGATCCTCCAGTCTATAACTGGTGAGGTCGACGAAGAGGATAAAGAAGGAAGTGAAGAACCAACACCAATGACCACAAAATACAGTGTACTCATGACCTATGCTGATGGATTAATAAATTTTTCATCCAACTGTGCTCATCCTGAAGTTGGAAACATGTATCAGTACCTGAGGCGAACAAAAGAGCTGATCATACAACTGGCCAGTGAACACAGAAGGCAAGCAACACTTGATTCTTATATGGTACGAAAATCAAGCCAAGCGCCTTCAACCAGTGAGGCGCCACAGGCAAGCCAAGTGCCTTCAACAAGTGAGGCGTCAAAGGCAACCCAAGTGCCTTCAACCAGTAAGGCTTCCACAGCTGGCAGTCAAAAATAACTTTGCCTAATGAACTGTACAGTAATTTTAAGTGTTAATTTTAGTGTTGTGTTAGTATAGGTTACGTAAATTGCCAAGAATTCTTAACTTCAAGATGTGTGGCATCAATCAAGATGACGAACACCAACAAGGTAAGTTGAGGTTTCTAGTTGAATATTTAATAATTATATGTGGCAAGGCAATTCAAATTACAGTATGTTGTTTGTAGTATAAAAATAGTTGGAAATGGTCACTTTTGGACTCAATGGTTATAAAGTACCATTATCCGAAACACGTGATTATCCGGCTGGGGTTCCTTCCCATATAGTCCGGATAATCGAGTGGAAACAGTACTTTAAATGTAAAGTATTCATAGGGCATTGTTCCCTGCACCTCTCCAAGGAGGCCAAGTTCTGGTTCTGGTCCCCGGTAGACAATGTGAACTCTTGTCTGATGACTCCAAACAGGATAGCACTATATCAGGATAGCTTCAGAGAGCCTCTGGGGCTCACCCAGAACCTGGCATTTCATTACATTCAACACTGTTTTTTTTCCTCAATATCTAGTTTTAAGTTTAATGTGGCTCCTAGCCCATGACTCATTCCAAATAGTTAAGATAATTACTTTGTATTATATGCATATGTCATTGACACTAGATGTTGATAATTTTTTAAGCAATTTTGAGTATGTACTGTTCATACCTGATGATTATGCATGCACCTCAAGTTCCTGTTCCAAATACTGTGATGCATTATTACCATCATGTCATGATTTTTCAGTGTAAGATTATGTTCAATTTTTTTTTTCCATGAACCAAACAGTGTTGGTATAAATGCACATCTATTCTGTCATTTAATGTGTAATCTGTTTATGTAAGCATTTAATTTTGTGTCACCGAGGCACTTCAGAACCAATGTACAGTACAGTATTAGCTAGCTAGAGATTTGTCGACAGGTGTGGTGAGCTTGGTAGTGTGTCCGAGCAATGTTGGCCTTCAAGATGTAGATGGTTAGGATGTACATTAATCACAAAGTAGCTAGGTCTCTGACACTATACCAACAGGGTCATGAGTGCCACTCTTGTAGGCCGCCCTCAGTGGATAGGACCTCAGTAGGCCAGATAGTGTGTTACCAACCAATAAAAGAAGCCATAGCAGGAACTAGTGTGTATTCACTACATCCCAAGCAAGATACTCTATCATATCGATGACTAACAATAAGAGTTAAAACAATTTAGGTGCTTCGTTTTCTATGAATCTTGCAATTGTCTAAGACTTTGCCAATTTTTGGCTGCTTTCCGCAGTGCGGCCGATGATTATATGTCCCCAGGTCTCTGCGACTCCAGGGAGGGGGGTGATGGACAAGGTTCAGGCTCTGGTCTCCAGTAGGTCTAACAGGACTCCTGTGACACAGTCACGGGAGCCATAAGGACAATATAAATTTAGGAAGACACACCAAGGGGCTCCTCCCAGAAAAACTTTTACATGACTCCCAAATTTATTTTTGTATTAGATATGAGGAAATGCTGGAGCTGTGAGCATTCCAAAATGGGGCATAAGATCACAACATGTAAACACTTTCTTTTTACACATGTAAAATATAAATTACAACAGGTTGGATGGAAAAAAGGGGCTACTTCAAAATCAGCCTAATCAATTTTCACAATGTCTTACACTTTTGGTTATGAGACCATGATTTTTGCACCTTGGACGGCATTTCATTGAAATCCTCCATACTAAAATATAAATCAATTATAAATATAGATTTAGAAACACACAATAAAATGAAAATAGGCCAATTGGAGAATGCTTAAACACTTACATACTACTTTCTAAACTACCTAATGTAATAAACAATACATTAACAGATTTTTTTTTACAAAATATACATAAAAATACTATGAGTGAAATAGTCTTGAGATAAAAAAAAAAGGGGTTAAGTACTCACTCCAGATATTGGAACCCCAAGTAATGGACCTTTTGTTATATAGCCATATATTTCAGAACTGCTTCTGATCTCAGGAAGAATAGACATTGGAATATTGAAGAATCTGGAAAAAAAAACAGTGTTGAATGTAATGTAATGCCAGGTTCTGGGTGAGTACTGGAAGCTCCCTGAAGTTAGCTTACTGATCAAGCAACCTGTCCTCTTAAAAATAATGTCGCTTTTGGCCGTTTGCCTGTATGGCCGAAAATGGATGTAATTTAAAAATGAAAAAAAAAAAGGAAAATAAATTTGGGATTTTTTTTTTTCAACAACAGTAAGATAAGGGTCCTCTGATAGGTTAGGTGGGCAGGAAATTCTCATAAAGTTTCAAAACGTTATGAAAAACGTTAATTGAAAGCTTCCTCTTTTAACCTTACCGCGTAAGCCGGACAACTCAAACAGAAAGTGAAACAGTACGTCACTTTTGTGAGTCGATTTCATTTCAAATTACGTCCAAATTTGGCCATAGCGCGCATACGAGCCAAAAGTGACGTTATTTTTAAGAGGACGGGTTGGATCAAGTGCAATAATACTTGAATGTCAACAGTCCCAGAGTTATTGTCGCCTACTGGGAAACACGAGTCAGAACCTGGCCCCTTCAGAGAGGCACACAGAGCAGTGGCCCATAAACACTTTACATTTAAATTTTATCAACTTGGAAAGCACCCAGAAAGGTAGGGAATGCATAGTTGAAAAACAAGACTAGTAAAATGTCAAAAGAACTCCCTCAACAAGAAAACAAACAAACCAAAACTTTGTCAAACCAGCACTAACAGTAGTTTGCTCCACCTCCCCTCTCATTGGGGGATGTGGTGAGCCGGGCCGCCAACGGTCAGTTCTTAAATTATAAAAAGCTGCCGACTGGAGAGAGGGAAGGAGGATGTCAAGGAGCCTCTGGGGCTCATCTAGAAACTGACATTTCATTACATTCAATGCCGGTTTCCTGTTGGAAGCCCCATCGGCTCCCTGAAGCTAGCTACTCATAGAGAAAGGAAAAACAGGGGGCTGACCAGGGAGGAGGAAGCACCTCAGATATCAACTCGAAGGCGAGACCAACTATCACGACAGATACCCCAGGGCAACTGAGAACCAGGGATGGTGACAAGATACCAAGCAGCCAAGACCCCAATACCTAACAAAACCTTTGTGCCCAAAAATCGACATAAGATATGAGCAAACACGGCCATCAGAGCAGCATCCACACAGAAACCATGAGCACAAGGGAAGACTGCAGGCTGGCTAGACTGAACAACACTGCAGATGACTAAACACACATGAACCCTGGAACAGGGAAACCGGAACACCCCACAAAGCGCCCACTGAAGCAGAACTGGCAGCACGAAGGTAGCGGCAGACAACCGCCACCAGGTAGAGCGCTCTAGGACCCCCTCCCCCCCTCAGCCGAACAAAGCAAGCATCCACAACTAAAGAACCCCTCCAGAAGCCAGCTGACACATCCTATGCCAGAAAGGAAAGAGCCGGCTGCAACCAAACAAAATGCCCAACAGAACCAAGGTCAAGGTCAAACTCCGTGACTGTTGACATTCAAGGTCAAACAGCGGCAATGAAAACCCCAGCTGACCCCAAGGGCGGTCGCACCCTTGGACCAAGCAGTATGGACACCGCCAGGAAAGTCGGAACAAGTATGATACCATCTCCTCCAACGACCTGAGTAAGACAACCAACATCACCAAGGTATTGTCTAATCCTTCTCGTTGTACTTGGCCTGATTACAATGGTTCTAAATTCTCGATCTATTCCAACATCAGGAAAGATCCTTCTCTCTACGAACCAAATCCAAATAAACGTGCTCCTCCAGACAACTTTATCAGCCCTCAGCTAAAATATTGTAAGCCAAACTTACCTTCCATTGCATTTGAAAGGCGTAAATTCTTGTCTTGTACTAACTCCATTCTCGCCCTGCCAGGTATTAGAAAACCTTCAGTCTTCCTCTCTGGCGATAAGAACACCATCATACCGCAGCGAGATGGGATCTTGCACTCCAGCCACAATCATCAAAGAGGAACTACTCAACATCCTACCCGACGTGCAACACAATGAACCATGCAATCTACTAGGTTACAACTTCAACCTCTCCTCAGACTTCAACATTCTTCGGTCCATCCAGCAGGCCCAGTTCAACCACAGTCTAGTACTCCGCTGGGTCTTGCAGCACAACCTCAACATCTTCTAGGACCTCAACATTCTTCGGTCCCTCTGTCAGGATCAGCTCTCCAAACTTCGCTGAATCCTGCATCACCATGTGGACATCATGTATCACAATCTCCTTTGGTTCATACCGAGTTCTCCCATCAGCACTTGCTATGCTGGGCCTTGCATCAGACAAACCATCTCGCCATCTCCTTGGATCATCACTCTCGTTGATCCATTCAGCATGCTCGATTCATACTTCACAGAGTCCTGCAGTGCTACCTCAACATCTTCAAGCACCATCCTCTCCTGTTTCTGCAGCAGACCCAGTTCACCAACCAACGTCTGCTATGCTGGGCACTGTATCTGCAGAACATCAACCTTACCATCTTCTTCATCAAAGGCCCCGACGTCGTTGTCGCCGACGCACTTTCACGAGTCCACAAGGTGGACTCGTCCACTCCTACTATTCAACACTGCTGCAGTCAAATAGGCAATAGGAGCAGGCTTCGGGGGAGAGCTGTCACAGTAATCTCTCTAGGGAGAGATTCGGCCTGCTCCATCATCACCTATTCTATCATACCACATCTATATATTCAAGAACTGCAGCCACAAGAGCAGCAACAACACCTCTCAAAACGTCTAAACAGTACCACCGGTCTACCTTCCCCACGGCCTGTCACCCTCCTCGCACCTGGTGACGCCTCAGGATCACGCCACCTCTGAAACAAGCAGTTAAAGTGACCCAGTTCATAGTTACCAATGTCATCAGCGCCACCTGGATGGCTGTCGTTCCATATAAATAAAAGCCGGCCACCACCAAGATTCAGATTACTCCTGAGTGCTCTACTGAGTAGACCTGTTGACATACCCCGGTGTGGTAACAGAGTTATTCAGTCTGGCTCACAGTATTCCCGCACCATTTTTAATTGCGCATTAACGTAAGGTAAATTTGATTGTCTGTTTATCTTGTTCATTTTGTATACTTAGTACATAGCCAAATTTTGGATATTATTTTTATTTTCATGTTAAGTGTTTAAGTCATTTGTTTAACCCCTCAAACCGCTAGGGGCCCAAATGGAATTCACACCCACAAGCTCAACAAAAAAAAAATCCAAAAAATTCTTTCGTCTTATAGAAGTGTTAATTTTTGTTCCCTGATCACGGAAAAAATAACAAAAAAAATCGTAGGTGGCATATTTTAGCCGCAATAGGGAAGGGAAGTGTGGCAAAAAACCAGCGTTGAATGTAATGAAACGCCATTTTCTGGGTGAGACCCGGAGGCTCCCAGAGCTTTACCAGGCTGATATGCTAATGTCAGACTTTGGCATCAGTCATGTGTATGGAGTTCTAAGGCCAACCGGGGACCACGACCAGAACCTGGCCCCCTCAAAGAGGCAAGGGGAGCAATGGCCTATAGAAACCCCCATGTGGTAGGAAGCATTCTATGTCTGCCATCGACCGGGTCAAGCATCCAGAAAGGTAAGCATTCCAAAACAAACCCCTATTCTGGTGAAAATTGCTACCTAAAGCCGAACTAGTGGAAAGAACTCAACAGAAAACAAGCAAACTAGTATGACGTCACACGTCACCGCGCAGCTGTCTGCGCAGCTCCCCCCTCCCCGGGATGGGGAAGGGGGAGCCCCAGACCTCCCACGCCGGCTACCCACCCATCAGTTCTGAGGCTGGATGTCAAAACACGCGAAAACCGCCGACCGGAGGGAGGGAGGGTTGCCGGGGAGCCTCCGGGTCTCACCCAGAAAATGGCGTTTCATTACATTCAATGCTGGTTTTCTGGGGGGAGCCCCGTCGGCTCCCCGGAGCTAACTACCCACAGAGGAAGGTCAAAGGGACGGAACTGGGAGGCGGACACCACGCACCCCCCACGGAAGCGAGAGAACCGGCAGCAAAACGCCAACCCAAGGCGCCACAGCCCCGAAAAGTCCCGGGAACAACACGAGAACAACAAGCAGCAAGGCCCCCGCATGAACACCAAAAATCCATGCCCGAAAGACCGCAAGGACACATCACCCAAGACGGCAGCGAGAGCAGCGAAGCCACGAACGCCACGGGCATGAGGGAAGAACACAGGCAGCTTAGCCGCAAGAACACTGCTGACAACCCGGGACACCATCACCCGTGAAGCGGGAAAAACAGAACCGGATCAATGCAAAACGCGCTCCGGACCCAAACGCCGTGGCACGCAAACAACAACGGAGGGCCGCCACTGAACACGAAACACGACACCCCCCTGGCCCGACAACGAAGCACCAACAAACCCTGGACCCCTCCAGAACGCAGCAGCCCCACCCCGTGCCAGAAAAGACGGAGACTGCTGCCACCAAACAAACAAAACGCTAAAACCGAAGGAGCAAGAAAACTCAGCGACCCGACCCCCAGAGGCAAATGCCAAAAGGAAAGAGCCGACGAAAAAACACACCGGAACCGAAGGGGCACTACCAACCAAGGAGAAGACAGAGCACGCTGACCAGAGACCAGGATGGTGCAAGCGGCGCACGAACAGGCCGAAGGTGAAACGACGCACAAGACAGCTTACTAACGGTGCAGAAGCAACACCAAGACCGAAAGCAAGCCAAAGCAGCTCCGCAAGCGCCGCACGAAAAGAGGCGACAGTATGTGACAAGACGACGGCCTCCAACCCCCACCAGAAAACCAAGCCGAGAGTGAACCAAGCTAACAAGAGTAACCACCTAAGAAGGGACAGGAAAAGGAAGGACCACCAAAATACCCCATACTGACGCCAAGAGAAGCACGCAGGTGGGACACCTACCACGAAGCCACCCGACCACCAACCGGAGGCGAGACCGCGAGGCAGAACATAAGCAGCCCCGACAAGGCCCCTCCGAGCCCAGGAAAAGGCGGAGCCGCGGGAAGATCTCGGGCGCGACCACC